TATCTGCAGCCTGTCTTCTGTCCCAGCTGCCTGCAGTGGGTCGGTTTGGGATTGAGAGAGTGGCTGGGGTAAAAAGATAAGAAAGGTTTATTGATCTAACAAACACGTAATTACGCAAAGCTTAACAACACAACAAAGACAGACAGTAAATCTCCGAGTCGGCAACTTATCGGCAATCCCCTTTTATGCCTGGTATACGACAAGCCTCTTGAAATCCAGCAAAGTCAGGCATCCCCAATCTACACTGTCCAAAGGGGTACCGGGAAGGACCCTAGTATTCAGTCTTCGAGCTTCTCAGGAACCACCGCCTCGCCGAATTCCAGGTCTGCGGCTTCTCTTTCACAATGATAGCTTCCTTTACCACACCGCTTTCCTTCAACCAATTTCTGGATGCGCCAGCAAACTTACAGATTTTTTTGAGCTAGCTGTTGGCTTGCAGCCAATTATAGTTCTATACTACAAACTTCCCTTATACGACTAACCAATAGCAGTACAGCCCTTTGCGTTTTCCTTATATGATTAATTTTAGCTGCGCCATCGCTAATGAAGCTGGCTTTAAGCTATGGCAAAATACATTTAACAAAATATAGGAAATACCTAACCACAACGGCGTCCTTTTACACTCTTCTGGCTATAAGTATTCTGCAATACATAGATAAGCAGCAGAAAACCAGGTTTAACCCTCAGAAAGTCGGTTTAGCTGTCACAGGATGCCTCAGCAAGCACTCTTCTAAGCAGACACTATTGTTGTCAAGAGACATGACCAAGTCACTGCCACAATCTTCAAGCGTGACCATGCTCCCCCATAACTTGGTGTCATACATGAACTTGGTCAGTGAGCTGTTCACCCCCAAATCCAAATCATTGATAAAGATGTTGAAAAGCACTGGACCAAGCACTGAGGGACACCTGAGGGACACCACTGGCCATTTCTCACCAGGATGACATAGATCCATTCATTAGAACTCTCTGGGTCCTGCCCCACATCCAACTTCCTACCCACCTCACTGTCAAGCAGTTAAGCCCACAATCCTTCAATTTTCGTGTGAGAACATCATGGGATACCATATCAGAGGCCTTTTGGAAGTCTTGGTATACAATGTCGACCTCCTCTGTCTGATCCAGGTGGCAAGTTATCTGGTCATAGAAGGAGATGAGATTGGTAAGACAAAACCTGCCCATGACAAAGCCGTGTTGGCTGTTGTTCAGAATCCTACCTTCTGCAAGCGTATCAGTCATAGACTCCTTGATTAATTTTTCCAGGATTTTTTCTGGGATAGAAGTTAAGCTAATTGGCTTATAGTTGCCCAGGTCCTCTTTCCTCCCCTTCTTGAAGATGGGCACAACATTGGCCATCTTCCAGTCTTCAGGCACCTCCCATGAACACCACGAGTTTTGAAAGAGTTTCGCCAGAGGTCCCACGATGACTTTGGCCAGCTCCTTCAGCACTCTTGGATGAAGTTCATCCGGTCCTGCTGACTTATAAATGTGTAACTTTTCTAACTGATCACGCACTAGCTCAATGTCAACAGTGGGAAGGCGGTCATTCCCACCGTGCCCATTCTGAAACTTATCTAGCATGATTTTCCCCTTAGTCCAGTGAAATACTGAAGTAAAGTAGTTATACTGGAGTTCAGTTTTCTCCTGAGTGTCGGTATAACCAGCTGTCCTGAGTTGTTAAGTAATGGCTCCCTCACATAGTACTCACACTCCCTCATGCAGTACTGGTCCCTCACAGAGAGAGCTACACCTCCACCTTTCTTCCCTACTCGGTTCCTTCTGTCCAGGGTGTAGCCCTCTATGACTACGTTCCAATCATATGAGGTGTACCACCAGGTCTCTGTGATCCCTACTAGATCATAATGCCCACTGGAGAATAGGAGGGCTAGCTCCTCTTGCTTGTTCCCCATGCTCCTGGCATGAGTGTACAGGCACCTGAGTCCTCCAGTTGAGACCCTCGATTTCCTGTCAAGCTGAGGGAGAGTCATTCCCTCAGCTCTTGCAAGAGTGACTCTCCTAGTGTCCCCAACTTCAGAGCTTTCTTGTGTGCCGGTCCCTGGGCATGCTCCAGTCTGTGCTTCCCTGTGCCCTGGGAATTTTTAGTTTAAAGCCCTATCTAGAAGATTGGCCATCCTGGACGAAAACAGGGACTTACCCCTCCGTGTGAAGTGGATGCTGTCCCTTTCTAGGGGTCCTCTCTCCCTGAAGTGTGCACTCTAGTCGAAGAAACTGAAGCCCTCTCGGTAGCACCACCGCTGGAGTCGTTGATTCACTTGTTCGACACATTCTTCACTCCTAGGTCCGTAGTCTGCAACCAGGAGAATCGAGGAGAAGACTACCTGCGCCCTTGAGCCCAGCCCCCAGAGCCCTGTAGTCAATCATGACCCGGGCCAGATTACTCCTGCCTTCAGAGTGAATGACTGACTGGGGAGGGGGCATACATGAAAAAAACAGTGACCACTCTCTATTCTGGATACTGAATAAGGGACCGACCTATGCAAAATAGAAATTGATCATCAGGGATTCCGGTTTTCAGTTTCTCATGGAAAAATGGGGAAAAAATGTAGATTTTTCCTTTTAACTGAGGAAAACTCAGATTTTTTGTTTTAACGGAGAAATATGCAGATTTTCCACTTTTACAAAGAGCTCTCTGTAGGCTGGCAGAGTTCCAGCCTGCAAGGGGCTGGAGAGAATAGGAGAGAATAAGAGAATAGGAGAATCTAGCAGATTTAGATTGGACATTAGGAAGAACTTCTTCACAGTTAGAGTGGCCAAGGTCTGGAACGGGCTCCCAAGGGAGGTGGTGCTCTCCCCTACCCTGGGGGTCTTCAAGAGGCGGTTAGATGAGTATCTAGCTGGGGTCATCTAGACCCAGAACTCTTTCCTGCTTATGCAGGGGGTCGGACTCGATGATCTATTGAGGTCCCTTCCGACCCTAACATCTATGAATCTATAAGAGTGGTCAGGCAGGTGGTGCCATGTGCACATGCTCGCTCACACGTGTATGGCTGCCAGGCAGCCTGGAGACCAGTTCCTTCAGGTAGGTCTAGCAGTGGGGGAAGGGGGGATTGAGGCCCCCATAGGGGGAGAGAGAGGGAGTTGGGCAGGGCTGGGGCTGCTGCCCAGCTGGACGGTGCGTAGGGCTTGAGGCCCGGGGCTGGAATGCGCAGCCACAGGGCCCTGCCAGGAAGCAGAATGAAGCCACTGGCACCTTGTCCAGGGGGCTGCAGGGGACCTGGTTCCCCACCATTGTGTGCACTCCAGGGGGCAGGGGGGCACGTGCCCCTCAGATTTGTGTGCTGTGCAGGCTGCACACTACAAACTTGGGCTTCCTGCCCTCCCTGCAGGGCACAGTGGGACTGGGTGGGGAAGCTCCTTGCCCCGCTGTAAGCCCCGTGCTGCCCTGGAAAAACGCCCCCTGCCCATCTGGCAGCAGCGAGGATGATGGTGCAGGGTTGTGCCCTTGCTGCTGCCGGGTAGGCAGGGGATGTCTCACTATGGCGGCACAGAGCTCCCAGCAGTGGCAAAGAGCTTCCATGCCTGGTTCCACTCTGCCCTGCTGCACTGGCTCTCATCTACTGAGCCGCAGAGGCCCCTGAGGGAGGGCAGCAGGGTAGGGAGTCCCAAGCCCACAACAGACAGCCTGCACCAGTCTGGGCTTTACTACAGCTGTGCCACCCATGGGGGAGTGGGAACCAGACTCTGCGCTCTGCTCCACTACAGCAACCGCCACCTCCCGCGGGTGGCAGCCAGGGCTCGGGTGCTGCTGCGAGGGGCAGGGGGCTGTGGACCCAGCGGAGTGAGGGGTACCGGCAGTGCTGGGGCTCTTTCCGGCATGGCTGGGAGGGCTGTGGATGGGGTGTGAGGGGCACCAGCAGGGCTGGGGGGCTATAGCTTGGGAATGAGGGGCCTGGACCTGTGTCCTGGTGAGCTAAGGAGGTAAAGGGAGCTCTGATTTTTTTCCATGATAAAAAATCCAAAATCAAATACCAAAATGTATAAGTACTCAGCATTTATTTTATTATAGTGATTGAAGCTCTGATAGGCTTCTAAATTGTTTTAAAAAGGTAAATATTTTTTTTTAAAAACATTGCGTTCAATTAATACATATATATATCATCCCCCCCATCCTGCCCACCCCTCCCCCAACATGAGCTTACTTCCTCCGCTTCTGGCAAACACCACTTTAAACATATTTTAAAAAAGAATATTACTAAAGTTACAATATCATGCATCCAAATGTTAGGAAATATTGCCTGCATATTTTAATTGCTTTTCATTTATATTGTGGATTTGCGGTTTTTAACCCAGAGAATATGTGATTTTTTAAACAGAGAAAACCACGATCCCTGTCACGTATTTAAAGCCTGTTGCATAGAATATATGCAGCGAAGGGGGCATAATAAAGTGACACAGGCAATATTTCCTAACTTTTGGATGCTTGATATTATAACTTCAGTAATGTTCTTTTTAAAAATATTTTTGGGCATTATGTGGAGTAATTCTTTGCTGACATAGCAATATTGGAAAATATACAGAGACTAGCAATGCAAAGGCTAAAAAAAAAAAAAAAAGCCATGTCTGTCAGCATTACTTGTGCTGGGAAGTATGTCACTCTGCATTTACCCTGAAGAATGTACTAGGTACCTCACAATAGAGAGATGAGGGCATAATCCTTGGCCCATGGGGCTAAAAGCTTTGGCTCAATGAGTAAAATAATGTAATAGAAGAGCAGCAGTGAAACTAAGCACTTACTCCACAAGGGTTAGTGCCTGGTATGATAGAGAAAAGAATAAGTGGATTTGTTGTAAATGAATAAGCAGCTTAATTTGGTTTTTGATGGCATTGTGGAAGAAGCAGGAACAATCTATTTGAGGACTGGTGAGTGGCTTTCGAGACAAATTCAGAAGGTGTGTTCCCACGTGTAGGCAACAAAATCATTCTGGTTCTGTTAGTGACCTGTTTTTTTGTGAAACTAAGGTTATCTTTTCTGTTTTCAGAATATTGGGGAGTCAGAGATGCCCAGTGTTTTGAACCAGTTACTGCCAATGATCAAGTCTCATAACAACAGAAAAGAAGATGACTATAATTGTGAAGACTTCCTTATCTTGCTGGTATACATTTACTCTGTGGTTGGAGAAGTTAGAGCTGGAAAAGCGCTGGATGAAGCTGAAGGAGAGGTGAAAAAGGCACTAGTCCAGGCTTTTTGTGATGAGCCAGAGCTGTCATCTTTGTTGCAGAAAATAACAGGTGAGTTTTTTTCAGTGCAATGAGGAAATGTGTAGGTAAGAAATACATAGCTAATGAAAGCCCGAGAAGAGCTTGACTTGTCAATGGTGATTAGGGTATGTGAATAAGCACAAGGATTTCCTGTAGATCTGCTGTGCACAAATGCCAAATGCTGACAGGTTATCCTGAATTGTGCTGAGTCTGATGAACGATTTATGCTTCTATTCTTTTTGTTAAAGATTGGTTAAGTTTGTGTGTTTTCATAAGGTAATCTTTTCAACAATTTTCCTTCATCGATTGGTATAAAGTTGACCTTGGAAAGTCAAAATTAATTCTGGAAATATGCTAAGTGAACTATGGTTGTTTTGTGAATATTAGGAGCTGCTGTGTCTGCTGTAAAAAGAAATGAGTCTAAAACAAACATGGAGCTTTTTACTGAAATAACATGAATGTTAGCCTTTACAAATAGCATGCTAAGGCCTTTTTGGATGAACAATCTAATGGGATGGCAGTGCTACCTTGTAATTGCCATTGTTGCATGCCTAAAAAAATTCTTACAGATTTTAAAAATAATGAGCTGCAGCACAGAAGTAGTATTTCAAAGTGGAAGGAGGGCATCAGTGCCCACCTATTACGGATTCATCCATCAAGTTACCAAGTATTATTTATTTAGTTTTTTATATATACTATGGTAGAGCTTGGGAATCCTGGTTGCCAAGAGCCCAGGGTGCTAGCTTCTGTGCAAGCACACAAAAAAGATTGTCCTTGCCCCAAGGATCTTACACTGTGAAGGCCTCCATTCTGGTATAACTGTACTGTTGTTGTTCCAGCATAAATCAGATAAGCAATTATGACAATATCTTTTTTCTCATGTAAGGAAGCCCTTAGCATTCCTTTTTGCAAGCTCATTAACAGGAGACGCATATGATCAGCATCTCTCTTCATCCCTAGAATCATGCTCTTTAGCTCAGTGATCTCAGTCTGTCAGAGGCTCCACAATTGGGAGCAGCAGGACGCACATGGCTGGGCTGAGCCACTCCCCCTGCTGCCCGGGCTGGGCTGAGTTGGTAGAGTCAGAGCCTGGGTGGCTTGCCCAGGGGGAGGAGTAGGGCGGGGGCTGCGGGGGCAGGGTAGGGTGGGGGTGGTAGATCCTGGGGTGCCCTTTGCTTACAAAAAGTGATCTTCACCATAAAAAGGTTGGCAATCGCTGCTCCAGTTCATTGATTGTATGTGTGTGTATTATGTATGTACAATATAGCTCCATATTTCTTGCAGTCCATTTCTATCACGGTTTTTTAGTGTATGCTGAGTGTCTTGGGAGCTCTGTGAGGTTTCCAGAAGACCTTTGTGGTATTCACTGCTGAGTGCTGTGCAGGTCAGTCTCTGCTGTGCAGCACTCCATCTTCACAGTTTGCACTTTTCCTATGGTCAATGTTTTGAATGTTTCCTAAGGCCAATTTTATAGCTTGCTTTAATTATGACTAGAGAGAGAAAATTGGGAAGTGTTATGCTAGTTAATGTTTACTTTTATTAAGTACCAGTGGGAGAAAATTACTTGATTGAATAGAAACTTCACCCATTGCCCTGTGCAGTCTGCACAAGTGAAAAGCAGTGTAGTTCACTGGACTACATTGGACAGCAGTGAACATATTGTGCTTCTCAACATATTATATTATGTAGTGTCAAGGTGATGTTGTTGACATGATAATCCAAGAATTCTTGCCCCTCACATGTTAAGTTAAGAAGTTCTCATTCCTAGGCAATGCCATGCATAATTTTTAAATACCTAGATTTTCAGACCTGTTTTTCAACGTTGGGCATCTATGGGTTTGTAGTTTCACAACACTTAAGGTGATAGATTAGTAAAAGTGATGAATGACAGTTTCAATACAGATAGAGGAGGGAGGGAGAGGGTGCAGGCTTCTTTGTGTTCACATTCGGGAACAAATGTTCAAAGCCGGTGTCTGAGGTACAGCCTTTGCATCTATTCTGAAGAATTATACTATTTGTTTCATACTCATTTGAACGCCTAGTGTTCTAGCTTTCTGTTTGCCTCAAATAGTTTGGAGGGTTTTAGCATTTGGCCGAAGATATTTAAAAGTTCACATTAAAGCTTTATGTTGTAAGCAAATGATATTATTACAAAGCTTAGTTAATGGTGTAATGCAAGGCCAGTTGTTCTGTGCAATCTTCCTGTATTTATATAACATGACAAACATATAATTAGGAGAAAAATCGTGAGAGTACAAGGATATCCACTTGAGATGCCTGAACTGTTTCTTAGTCCATTTATTAGTTCTAGTACACTTATCCAGTATTTTTATTACCTGAAAAAAGTGGTTGAAATGCTCGGCACTATGTGTGCTCACACGTGTGTGTTTAGCAGTGTAGAAGCTTAAGCATGATCCATTGCCGGCTTGCTGGCAAGCCTTTTTGACCTTTTTCAGGTCTGTGGTTTTGTATCTCATTAAGTGTCAGTTCACTTGGCTCAGCTAGTGAAGAATGAATAAAAGCAAGCTGTAGGTGACATAAACATTTTATTGTACTGACCAGAAAGAAGATTTAACTTACAGATACAAAAGCAACTTTGGAAAGGGAGCATTGGGCTAGATTTTCAGTTGCTATGAATTGACTTGTCTCCTTGAAGTCAATGTAGCTAGGCTCATTTATATCATCAGGGGATCCAGGCTATGATTTATAGCTGGGATATACCCATTATCATCTCCTGAGTTCATGTTACATTAAAAAGAAGGCAGGGTGGGGAATGGTTTGCTTATCAATGGCTGCAAAACTTAAACTTGTGTAAATCCATCTTGGAATTGTCTCATGTCATGGGCCAAACAAAAAAGTGTATTCTTGATCTCTCATTTGAAGCTTTGTCAAAATGAATGGTTAAGAAAACGTTGAACTTTGCACATTTACACATTCAGATCCTGGGAGACCAGAATTAGAACCGTACCATTGCCACTTTGACTCACTAACCTCCCGTTTTGAAGGGCACCAACTGATACTGGAGTTCCTACAGCTGTCAGATCAGGGAGAGTGAAGCAGACTTGCCTTACCTCAATCACTCCTAGGCCCCAGTAGCTATCCTAACAGTCCATCCCTGACTTGGGTTAAGTCTGCTCCTGTTGCCACCTAACAAAGTTAGTCCTCTAGCTCAAGTAGTAGTAAGTTGTTCTTACGGAGCATACTGCCAATGAGGTCCAACATAAATAAATAGTGGAAGATATGTGGCACGTATAGGCCACCTAAATGTGCAGCAAAGCTAGCTTTATGGTTGAGGAACCTATAAATAAAAAAGGACCAAAGCTACAACCTTGTAACATCAAAGAGGGGTAGACAGAGAAGAGCCCTGGCAGTCATGACTTCTGTGTTATCTTCCTGGCTGTGCTATGGACTTATTATGTAACCTTAGAAAAGTTGCCTACTTTCTTTGTGTCTCAGTTTTTCAATGTGTAAAGTTATGTGATGATACCATTTTTCTGTGAATGACTTTGGGAGTGACATATGAAAAGCACAGTGTACGTGGTATGTGTTAATAAAATCCCTTTTAACTTTCTGGAGCTTTGCATTGAATTTTCCAGATTCAGACCTCTATCTGAAGTTTTGGTTTTAGTTTCAATCCAAAACTGTACCATGCCTGCTTTCTGGTTCCAGCTTGAATGAGGCTGGAATGAAAACCCAAATCTTAGCTGTGTTTTTGATCTGCAGCCCAAACTCCCAGTCTACTCTCCTTTGTCTACACTTTCACTTGCAGAGTTTATAAGCTCTGCAGCCTTAATATATCTACATGTTTCATGCCCCTCACTTCTCTTTCCTTTTAAAAGGTAAATTAAAGGAATAACCCTAGTATTAAAGCCTGTTGTTGATGCCCTTTACTAATAATGGCATGTCCTTTATTAATGTGAAAGATCAAGTTATCAGAAGTCAGGAATTCTTCCCACAGAGATAAGTGTGAATTTTTAATATGGGACATTTTCTATTCTTTAACTGTATTAAATAGCAATAGGCTCTATCTACATGTAGAAGATTTTTACCTGTATAACTGCTTTGATGCAACTAGTGAAACCTCTAACACAGATGGCATATACTCATGGGAATAATTACACCAGTGCTTTTTTTGAGAGATTACCAAATTAAATTAAAACCATATAAAACTTGTATTGTGGTGGTGCAGTTATACCTCAGTGAATGTCTTAAAGGGGACACTTTAAAACATGGGTATCAAACATACAGTCTGTGGGCTGGATCTGGCCCACAGAGGGGAACAGGGCCTGCTGCAGAATGAGGCCCTTTGAATCCACTGGGTGTGTCTGCCGGTGGCAAGCCTAGCTTACCACTGCTGGCATTGGACCTCTCACCACCACCACTGCTACTGCCATGGCTGCTGCAGCAACTGTCACACCCTGATCTGGATCTGGCCCACAAGGAGCCCTGCAGTCCAGTTCTGGCCAGGAACCCCAGGTGAGTGTGACACCCCTGCTTTAAAATATATTATGATGCATCCCTCAGGTAAGGTTACATAGTGAAAGAAATGAGACCTCTGGAACTTCCAAACTTCTGATTTCTTGACCTTCCAGCCTCAGCTCTGCTTTAAAACAACATATTTTAAATGGAAAAATGTTGAATATTTTGGTCTTTTGTCATGCCTTATGTGGCAGAAGGCCACCTTTGTTTCTCACCAAATACTCTGCCCTGTGACAATTTGATTGGGATGACCCCAGCAGAGAAGACACACCTTTACCCTATCTGTTTAGGTAACCTGAGCCGGATACATTCCTGAGGGAGGGATACCTGGGTGAGGGGCTTCCTCCCTGGTGGGCTAGAGACTGCCAGTCTGCCTGGCAACTAGTGATGTATTTCAAATTGGTTGGCTGACAGCCAACAGGTGCTGGCCTCCATTGGACCAGGTAAATGAGGTCACAAGGGCTATATAAGTTAAGAACTGCCCAGGAGGAGGGGACAGCAGCCATGACGGAGACTCAGAGACAGAGAAGAGCTCTGAAACTTGCTCTCTC